TCTCTGATTGACGCCATGTTCCACCAATCCTGCGTCTTCCCGCCGCCATGTTCTGTGCGCTTCCATTGTTTCTTCTTCATGGAGGTCTCCAAGGGGGCAGGACACATTTTTTGGGGGGCAGCTGATTGGTGGACGTTGACTTGCAGGAGGTGGAGCCAGACTGTTATAATGTGCTTATAAAGCTAAAGGGCACCTGTCATTTCCAGGACGTGTTCTGTGGTCAGAGACGCCCGGGAGGATTCCATAACGGTGTCCGAGAAGATAAGTGTCTGCGTTACCCATAGCAACAAGATCCCCATCACAATGTCTAACAAGCCGAGATCCAGCAAGTTCCCAGGAATGAAATCTGAACGAAGGGAGCAGATTTGGCTGCTGTGGGGAACTCCATGTTGTCATGGGTGATCGTGATGTGGTGACATGGTGTTGCCCTCCATGTTATTACAGGTGATGGTGATGTGGTCACATGGTGTTGCCCTCCATGTTGTTATGGGTGATGTGGTCACATGGTGTTGCCCTCCATGTTGTTATGGGTGATGTGGTCACATGGTGTTGCCCTCCATGTTGTCATGGGTGATGGTGATGTGGTCACATGGTGTTGCCCTCCATGTTGTCACAGGTGGTGGTGATGTGGTCACATGGTGTTGCCTTCCATGTTGTCATGGGTGATGGTGATGTGGTCACATGGTGTTGTCATGGGTGATGGTGATGTGGTCACATGGTGTCCGGAATCTGTGGTAGTTCCCGTGTGAAGATGGCGCCAGGCCGCGGCTCGCCAACACGCCGCCCATTAGTGATCTATAGAGAGTCAGCGGACCGTACAACGTGTATGAGACTTTCTCTTATGGGGGGGTCACCTCCTCCTCCGGGGGGGGGCCCTCTATGTCCGCCCGCCAGACATCTTGATCACCTGCAGGTCTGCGTCAGTTGGTTGTGCTCCGGGCCCCTCAGGGGCCACTGATGGAAGTCATGGGGCTGACGGTTGCCGTGTCCAGGGAGCTGGCAGCCAGCACGGGTTTGCTGGTCCGGCCCCAGGACGTGCAGAGCAGAGAGTGCAGCTTCTTGAAGACAGAGCCGCGGAAGATGATGAATATCCAGGGGTCCAAGATGGGGTTCAGAGCGCTGAATCGGAAGGCCAGGAGGTCGCCGGACTCGTCCTGAGGCTCG